TAGTCGCTAGTATTGTGCCGCACATGCGCAAACTTCCTTCTGTGCTTAAGTCGAACAAGTTCTTGGAAATGGACCGTACTGTTTCAGAATCATTAGCATCTATAAGAATAAGCTAATGCTCATAGTCCCATAAACTAATGGGTGATGCAAAAGTAATGAATGTGCCCGGACAGCGAAATCAGCCAAGTCGTCTTGAGTCTAATGAAAACCTGCTAAACCGATGAGTTCACAATGGCAATTGTAGCAAGGAGCTCGAATATCATGATGTTGGTGTTTTGGAATACAATTTTCCTGTGCACTGTAAGCTGTTTGTGTATAAATCTAATGATTTCATTAGATTTTTACATATATTCCGGTTCAATCCCGAATAGGCTATGCGATGAACAGAGGATGTCAAGGAGACGTTATGCTTACAATAGATTATTCAAATGTTGGCCTATTAGACGGCCAGCGTAGCGGCCGCAGGCCGCTAGGAAGGTTTTTATATTTAAAATATCTCATACGATCTAATAAGATAATTTGTGAGGGTGTTCTACTGCAGCATACAAAGAAAGCGAAAACTGTTTAATTCCAAACATATAAAGGTTTTCCACAATCACTCTCGAGGAAGTAATTCACATGGAAGAGTCCAGCATGTTCCTTCGAACTCGAACTCAATGGATTAGAATTTCGTGGAATGGACCCATCATTGGACGTGGTCCCTGGACTCTTGGAATAGCTGAATCAGCAAATAAATATCTAAAGCATATTCAGATGGTGCCGAAGGGAAAATGAATCAACTTTGAATCGTTTTTGGCAAGTTTTTTCGTCCGAGGCTGTTGACACCAGTACACATGTCGAACATATAAGGTCTCTGCTATGAGTATGAAGTTTTACCCAGAGGTTCTCCTATGGAGATGGCAGTCGAAGGAGTACGTTGTGAGATTTATGTAAAAATGCATTCCGAATTGGGGAATTCGTTTCATTTCATTGCGAAAAATTGCGCTGCAGGAGAATGGTTAATGTTCGATAGAACAGTGCGTCGCATTATGCGAGAAGTCGGTGAACGTCGGAAAGACCGACTGCATGGCGGTGAAAAACCGTGAGTCTTCCTTCCGCCTCCTATCCTGAAAAAAGGAAATCATACAGAGAGAATGAGCAAACAGTGCGTCGCATTATGCGAGAAGTCGGTGAACGTCGGAAAGACCGACTGCATGGCGGTGAAAAACCGTGAGTCTTCCTTCCGCCTCCTATCCTGAAAAAAGGAAATCATACAGAGAGAATGACCCAGCCTCGGGCAAGAGAACCCAACCTCCAGTGAGCCATTGCAAAGAAATGTCAAGTGTCTATTGGAACCATTTTCAATATCATCAGACAACATTTGTTCTAGAATCGATGTTCGAGCTCTAGGTGCTCGCTCTTTGTGAGAAACACATAAGACCAGCTGCCAAAAGTCACACAAGTGACATCTGGCGGGGGACAATTTCAAGGTTTGTTTTAATTACGGTCGTCCTGTGCTCTCGTGCATTTACGAGGTACTTGACATTTGTATCGTCGATAATTTAATTAAGAAGTCATTTGGACGACGGCATAGGTTCTGTGATGCCGAACAATAAGCGCGTCATTCTGTGTCTCAAGAATGAGCAATCTTGTATGGTCGATGAGGACGTGTCGTACCGATAGGAAGTAGAAATGGGTACTTATTGCTGGTTCGGCACTGTTAACCATCATATTGATGATGCCCACAAGCAGATCGACTTTCCGGTTGAATTTCTCAACGTGTTGGATATTCTGGGTTTCCCTCCCCACACATTAAACCTTAAAATCGGAGCCATCGTTATGCTTTCGCGGAAGTTTTTGATTAGGAACGGCCCTCGTAATGGCACACACATGGTTGCGAGAGACCCGAAAGTAAATGTCATATGAGTTCATGTGATCAGGGATGTGCTTCATAGCAACCGAGAAGAAGACAGGTCTCAAAGTGAACTACGCAGTAGGTTGCAGTCGTACGGCAAGCTAGAAACAGCTGCAGCTGAGGCATAGCTCGGACGGATACCATACTGATGTTAGTTAAAAATCTCTGTCTGATTTGATCGAGTCGGACTACCACTTCCGGAGCCAATATTCACGGGTGACGAATGTACGATGTCTACTCGCCAGTTCGCTCTGAGGATTCAATGAAGATTCAGGTAATCGGTTCATTGAAGAAAGGCAAAACTGAAGAAGTTTAAGTTCTTGGGTAGAAGGCCGCATTCACGGGTGACCAATGTATGATGTCTACTCGCCAGTTCGCTCTGAGGATTCAATGAAGATTCAGGTAATCGGTTCATTGAAGGAAGGCAAAACTGAAGAAGTTTAAGTTCTTGGGTAGAAGGCCGCAAGCTTGAAATAAAAACACCACAGTTTATTTCCTTCATATTGATATTGTTGTATTTATTGTTGTTGCATTCATGCTCAGGTCCCCCTGCACATGGTGGACATGAACAGGTGGATATGAGCCATGAATTATTTTTTTTTAAAAACCATGAGAGCAGAAAAAGATATTGAAAATTGAATCACACAAATATGGGAGGGCACAGAACAAAGTGATACGACCATTTCGCAGTCTTCTCAGTCATCCAGAGTCGTCGTGAGTATTCGGGACGAACCAGTACACATAGAGAATTTCGAAGATGTATTCTCTAAGGAAGTCTTCCGAGCTCATTCTATGGAGGGTCGTGCTATTCACTGGCTTACAATTTTCCCGGTTTTTCTTAAATGTAAAAATAAATAAGGAAGCGAACCCATATTCTATTTTGACGCAAGAAGCTGCATATGATTCTAGATGTGCCTGCATATTCATATTTTCTATGTGCCACATTCCAACGCTTTTTTTTCTCTGTTTCGCTCGAAGGAAAGTCGGAAGGAGGAATCGAGCACTTGAGCACAGAAAAGAAAGTCATCATTGCACATTGTCGACAAGGGAGCAAGCAAACGTCTTTGAAATTAAATAGCGTAAGACTTCAAGATTCTTAGTTTTTTGCACTTCTTTCGAATGAGGATGGCCAACAGAGAAAGGGAGAACTTAAGTCGCCAGATGTCAAGTCCCCGTTCAGTCATATCCGTTTCTAAATTACACGTAGCAATGAAACTCTATTCATTGGATGCTGCATCAACGCCCGGTTGTGCATTCGATGCGAATCAAACGTCAAGTTCATATTGCATCAATAATTGAGTATTGAGCATGCGCTTGAAAAGCATGATCCACGCTGCAGTAAGCACAGAATGCTGCAGGAGAAGGGAAGAAGCATGTCACAGGAAGAATAGGAAAAGGAAAGAGATGACCAGGTCGATACGATGTACTTTCACGGTAAAAGTGTGCATTTGCTCCCCACCATCCCCACAAAGGACTATACATTAGAGAAGGAAGATCCATCAATCAACTTCCATAGAATATCCATCAGAATAGTATTTGTGAAACAAAAAGTAAAAATCAGTTAGTCGATCTATAGAGAAAGAAGAGTCGCATTGGATAAGGGACTTGGACAACTGATAAACCTATTGGCTAAATTGGAGGTGGGTCTTTCTTGATCTATTTGAAGTTTGAAGGACCTTGTGCTTCCTTAAGGTCTTTTTACGTGTTTGGTTTCCTTTGTTTACCGTAGTCGGATTCCATGATTGTCCCATCCTTAGGAACCCAAGTAGCAATTTTGATCCAAAATAAGTCCATCGGACATACCCGCACGGACACTTGGACATCGAATGTATATCCTCCTCGGAGATCCGCTGGATGACTAAATCCAAGGAAAATCCTTGGACATGTACATTGGATGAACTATTGGATGTCCGTCTCTTTGGTTCCATTGCAGATTCCGTTCGGGAAAGCTTTTGGATGGCCATTGAGGGGTGCAGCGATAGTAATCGTCAGGTAGCTATGGAGCGTCTAAACTTGCAGATTTACTAATTTGCTCATGAATATTCATGGTTTAGGAAAGGAGCATTTTCTGCCTATTGACAATCTCGCCCTTTCACGTTCCTTGGAGGAACAAGGAGAGGAGTGTTGGAATGGAAAGTGAAGTATTACTAAGCTGAATCTCTTCATTTCCCATCCTTATCTCATTGGCAAGACATTATAACCCCCCTCGCTATCGGCGACATGATTAATATGGGGAAGGAACAGAGTGACTTCATTAGGGGAACCACACTCTTCCCATGCAATGAGCAAGAATTGCCAGGAGTCTCCTCGAGCTATGTTATGTCTGTCAACAAATGAATTAATTAGAATGACTTCGTTCCTTAGGCTTGTACGTGGAAAATTATCGACTAGAGGATGAAAGCTTACTCAGAACAATTTGTTAGAATTTTGGGAATAGGAAGACATACAGCGGCGGGATGAGCGCGGCCTCGTTTATATTATCGAAACTTTGTATTCCTTTAACGAACCGCTAGATGTCAGGTCAGATGGAAGGCCTCAACTGGGAGGGAATTCCATCTAAGGACATCCAATGGAAGACCATAAAAAGTTGTCCTTGGAGGTTCCATTGCTGGATGTCCTATGGATGTAAAAGAAGGACTGACACATTGTTTCGTTCGTATTGTAGAAATCTAAATGAAATCATGCACTGGTCCAATTATAATGTCACATTTTCTATATATTGAATGAAGTTATTGGGTTGGGACCTACGATGCGGGATTATAAGAAAAAAAAGAAAAGAAATCCCACGATTGGCTACTCGTAACGCCAATCCATAAAACCTTCATTCAGTGAGAAGGAAATAATTGAGTGTTTGATGTAGGGAAACAATATAAAAATATTTTCATAAAATGATGAAATAAGAAAAATGCTTTCCTTTCATCGTAACACTTCACGATGAAAGGGAGAGAAAGGTGTAGGAAATATTAGAACTGAATGGGAAGAGATTCCAGTAACTCTGTTTCACACTTCAGGAAGATTAAGCAGTATTAATTCGTCCTTTCCTCTCTCTGATCACTGTAAAAGTAGGCTATTCATTTGCGTCTAGGGAAACGGAGTAGGAAAGTTCCTGTGAAGGACAAAGAGGTGAAAAGGAAAGACTTCATGTTCCTCACACCATTAGTCTTCAAAATCCACCACTTCATTTCCATAAGGTTTTGCATTCAAGAACGAAAACTGGGAGAATTANCCTTCGAGGGATGGAATGGAACGTACCCTGCCCCAGCACGGGGGATAGTCAAGTTCCGCTGCGAACATCCAAAAGGATTCTCAGATGGAGCTCTTCTTCACACGGCTGAATGCGCCCCTTTGAATCCGGATTCTTGGTGCATCTCTTTCCGGGAAGGTGCAGTACAATGTGAGAGCATATCTTAAAATTCATTATCACTTCTTGAAGAGATCCGTGTTCATCTTTCCAATATTATTCTCCTTGTCATTTCGGGAGCAATTAGGACACAGTGTAAACGTAAATTGTGGTATTCTTTCGCACTCACGTCATCTGATGAGATTCAATTATTTAAACCGATATATAAATAAGTGTGTTTAAAATACTGAATCTGTTTTAATCAATGCCGACTATACGCCTGATGCGATTCTGAGGTGGGCAAGTGTTGTGTCGAAATAAAAATGATGGAAAAAATATACTTTAGTTTCCTAGATGTGGGGTCGAAAGGGAAAACATGACCATAGAAATAAGGTTTGTATCCTTACTGTTCAAGAAGAATGTCGAATGGTTTGATATTAGAGAGACGTCATTGAAGGTGTTATCGGTAGCCACTATTTCTAACATCGCCCAATACAATTTTTTTCTAGATAAGACTAGCCGAAAAGTACCATCACCAATGATAGCTTGAAATTCTAATTGTGACCATATAGTTATTTATCGATTTTCTTCTAGTATGGCTTTGAATTTCAATATATAGGGTATCTCAAGAAATGTATACACACTTTAATAATAAAAAACATATGTTAAGTACTTCAGAGAGGTAGAATTTTCAGTGTGGAGAAGCAAGGGTTTGAATTACATGGTTCGCTACCATAGATGTTCAAATTGTTTACCGGTAGCATTTAGGCACTGTTGATTGCAGTGAGCAACTGTGCAACAAACTTGTGGACAGGTTTATGCTGGAATAGTAGCACAGGACTTCTCAATTTCATGCGATCGTGTGATTGCTTGCAAGGCAACAGCAGCATTTACCCCCCTGCTGATATGTGAGGTCTATCAGAACATTGTGCATTACCGTACTAGCAATGTTCTGGGAGACCATGCACTGTACCATCAGCATCAAATTTATCATGAATCCTTGAAAGTTCTATTACATCATGGTGGTATAGCTGCAAGTTCATTTCTCCACCTTCATTGCACTTCACATGTGTTCTCAGTTTTCCAGAATCACTCTTGATTCAAGTGTGTATACCTTTTTTGAGTATATTCATGGTAGTAGACTACATCCATTAGGTTGCAAAAGTCGTTGCCCCTCGTATGAGACAAATTTCTAGAAGCATGTCTCTGGAATTTCTGGAGAGATTTTTCGAGAACCATCTAGAAGGTGAGGTAAGGTAGCTGTAAAAACGGCAAATCGACTTAAAAGTTCTTGAGTTGGGAGTAAATGCCTTGGCAACGATTAGCAACGACTGAGTTAATTGCCCCGTAAATGCATTACCCTGAAACATATAACGAGAGGAACTTGTTTTATCACGCTTAGAATACGAGTATTCTGGATTATGCACAAGTTGTATGAAGTAAATTATGATCTACTTTTTTCGTGGGAATGCCCACTTCCTAAAAGTTCATGAGAAAGGTAATTATCATTTCTTCATTTGCCTAGATGATGCGTAGGCTTTCTTCACTCCCCGACTATAGTGTTTCTTAAGACCGATATCACTCATGTAACAGAAAAGTAATATCGCAGAGCTTGGCAAAGAAAAGAAAAAAAATGAGTATCGTGAGATGCTCCTTATTTTATGATTAAAACATTTCTTTAATTTCTATCCACAAGCAGTATCTCACAGAGATAAATCTTGAGCATGAGAGGTTCAAAAAGAAAGCATTTAAAATCTCAGTGATACCTTCATCCTTCAATCATTCCATCCGCATTTTCTCATTCATTGTCACTCTAATATTGGATTTAATTATTGGCAGGTGAGAAAGTGCATATTTATCCAGAATGTCGTCTGACGAAAAGAGGCAAGGAATATGTTGGAAAAGTGAGTGTGACGGAATCAGGATGGAAATGTCTCAAATGGAGAGACTATCCCTATAAAGCAGGGAGTGACTACCCGGGCGGCATCCAGAATGTCGTCTGACGAAAAGAGGCAAAGAATATGTTGGAAAAGTGAGTGTGACGGAATCAGGATGGAAATGTCTCAAATGGAGAGACTATCCCTATAAAGCAGGGAGTGACTACCCGGGCGGCCCACATCTTAACTTCACGACCTCTGACCCCTCTGGAACACCTATCATCAACCTAGGTCACGAGGGCTGGTTCCTTAATAGGGACTCCTGGTCTCACCACAACTACTGCCGGAATCCATATTGGGGGGAAAGACCCTGGTGCTACATTTCCAACCCTTACATCACATGGGAATACTGTAACATCCCCATGTGCACTAACACAGGTATAATATTGCTCTATTTTTCACGTATTTTAAGGGTGAATAATTGACGAAGTGCCGTGTTTTCGCATGAGGGAAAGGAGGCAAAAGGGAAGGGTAAAATGGTCCCTTGGAGAAATGCAACTTGTCCTAAATGATTGTAATCACAAAGCTGGAAAATAGCTTTAAATCGTAATATAGGTTCATCATGATTCATGGCATGTGTTTGTTCTATATCGCTTGTTCTATATATTTTTTATTTTTAGAAGCTTTCCTAGCAACTTTCATCCATGACATTTTTTGGTTTCCCATTTCGGGAGATTAGTATGACCCTAAATCAGGTATTAAAATTGACTTTTTATGTTACTGTTTCTCCGTGAATAAACATGTAGCCTCTTTAAAGTTTCGGTTTCATGCTACAATAGTACAAGGTTGCGTAAAAATTGTCATGAAGATTGCATGATTGCATGCAATGTCGTGCATTTCTTCTTGTTAATGAACATAACAAACCAAGATGTGAGCAAGACAGTATTACTGTAAGGACTCCTGAAATTTATTAGAGAATTCGTGAAAGAGTAGAATTTAAACAAGGGCTGTCACGATAGATTGATGCATCGATACCACTATCGAATGTTGGAGATATCGATAGTTTCTTCGACCATCGCGATGTATCGGCAAAAGATGTGAAAGGGGAAATGTCCCATTTGAAGCGAGTACAATGCAAAACAGTCCGTCCGGGAGGGAATGCAAAAAGCGGCGTGGCTTGAATGGGTTTCCAATTTCTTATCACAATCAAGTTCTGGAAATGCCGAGACTGATTACATGAAAGACGGGGAGGGAAAAAAAAAAGCAAGTTGGATCGGAGACAGGAAGTGAGAAAGTGGGATCTTCGGCACGATCCCATTAGGTGTATGTTCCGGAAGTGGACTGTTATCATCAATCCGCTTTTGTAGCACCTATTACCTTTCTTCAACCCTGCCCGCAGGAAAATTCAAACTCCTCGTATTCCTCTCCGAGAGCATCAACTGGAACTAAATTTGGCATGCTTATTCCTCTCTAACCACAGAATTGCTCCGGCAAATTTCAGGCTCCATCTCCCGGGGCTTGTGGAGAACGTTGAATCTCATTTTTGGAGGATGTGAATTTCATGCCTCCCCCCTCCCCCTCCTTTTGGTAGCCGCTACTTCTGGGGGTTTTTTGGAGGAAAGAGACGAACCATAAGAAATATATATCGGAAAGATGACGAAAAGTGGCCTTTTTGTTGTCTGCGATGCACCAAATCGCCATTAAAGTGATGTTAGCCGTCGTTCAATTGGGCTTAGATTGCTGGCTCCGGTGCCGTCCCCCAGTGTTGCCGAATGTCGTGCCGAAATTATGCCAGCTTCAAGACAACTTCAACGTTCGTATCGCCGTCGGGCACAGCGGTGGTTTGCAGTTATCGAACGATGTGGTGGGATATGCAGATATCTTATCCGGACATCCCCGAATTAACAGGATGGCGCGTACCATGGATTGCATGCTTCCTGAAGGCATCCTCTCCTCAGGCCTATTCGAGGTGGTTAGAGGTACTCCAGATAGGCCTAACGTTACACGTCTTTAACCAGATGTCTCGAAGCCCACTACCCTCATAGGCCTAATTGGCGTCGTAAGTCGAGAATTGAGTTTCTTTTGAAAAGAAAAGGTGGACCTTGGCGTGATCTGAAGGTGGTCTGGTGGTTAGGCCCAAACCGAACGTTAGTGGGTCCCGAAGAGAGGCCTGGAGGAGGGTTGAAAAAAGGAAAGCCATTGAAAATTGGTTATCTCGCTTCAATAATATTTCTGGAATCTATATAATAGTAGCCGATGCACTTCTGTCCGCCGGAGGCCTGCACAGGTCAACTTTCCCGGACCCGACCCGACCCGATTGGATCGATTCGAATCCGGAGCTCAAACGCCGGCCGAACTTTTTGAGTTCGACCCGCGGATCGTGTCGGACCGATCGGTCCGGACCACACTTAGCCGCACACCGCCGGACACCGCACACCGCACACAGCCGGGCCACACTTCCGCTTAGGCCTCTAAGCCTCGGAACTCGGGTCTCTGGATTCGTCTTTTTTCTAAGTGACTCTAACAGCTCTGCCGAGGCTTCCACATGACGTCCCATGACGACACGTTGGTGCTGGCCTGTTCCATATTCCCATAGCTCACTACGTTCCACTGGTTGTTCCTTGCCCAAGAGTGACGTCATTTATTGACGTGATCAGGTCTGCCTGATAGAGCTGATCCCCATTCCCTGCGGAGCTCCCTCAAAATCATCCTCCCCGGGATGATTTGGAGGTCCACAGGTTAGGTCTTCCTGTATGTCTGCCTGAGGCAGATGAACTTTCCATAGCAGGACCGAAGTTTATGGACCCCCCCCCCCCTCCCCCCCTTGGGTCATGTCGGGGCGATCGCGCCAACCCACAGCCCACCAATGCCTCTGAGTTTAGAGCTCGGGGTCTTTGGTTTCGTCCTCTTTCTAAGCAGCGCTGCTGACCCATCCAGTTTTCCCATGACGTCACGTTCGTGTGGGCCTGTCGTGTTTTCATCATTCACTGCGTTTCGATGCCTGCTGCCTGCCCGAGGGTGACGTCATATAATGACGCGATCGCATCGAGCGCTGATGGAACGAGGTTTCGCAAATAATACTTCTGATTGCGTATTCTCCTGCACCTAGCAGGAAACTTCATTCCAGACTGAGCTGCCGGCCCTATCCGTCAGCCCAATAGAGTTAAAACTTTGGGACTAAAAATTGAAATTTGGGATCTATAGGGATGGGAAGCATCTTCTCTCCTTCATTTAATACACGAAAGGTTCGAATCCGTACAAATTGTCCCATTTTAATGATATAGAACCAAACCTGTGTTGTGGAACAGGGGGGGAACTAGGATTGCTTTATGGGAGGAGGGGAATGGCGAGGCGCACGCAATATTATTGTTTTGATATGTGGCTTTGAAAATTCTAGCTGTTTGCTTCATTTAGGTTTTTTGAAAGAAAAATCCATTACCTCAAATTCCAAGATGTGAATGTTTCACGGGTATCTGCTTGTAGTAACATATTCACTGAAAAGTCTTCGAAACAACCAGGGAAAGAAAAAAAAATTGTACTAACCTCGTGGAGCATGAAGGACACTAAACTTGAACAACTTACAAACATTCTGCTTTCTGGATTAAACATTTCTAAAGGTCTGAAATTTCAATAAGAATCTATATATATGCTTATTTTGGACACAAAAAAGCATATGGTATAAAATGTTTTCTCACGACTTAAATATTGATACTTAAAGTGAGCAATAAACCAGAAAGATTAATGACGGAAAACGTTTGCTTACATTTTCGTTACAATATTTTAAATGTCTTCATAATTTAAACACAGGGAGTGAATTTCAGACACTATCTAAAGGATGAACGGACATTGAAACTTTAAGTCTCGTACAACCAAGACTAAAAAAAAATTATTGCGAGGAGTTCATAGTATCTGAAAAGTTTCAACCTTTCAACATCCGAGAAGCGAAATAATGTCGGAATAAAGGGAGCAACCAGGTCACTCGAAAAAATTTTTCAGATATTTCATGAGGTCAGAATATGTCATGATGCGTATGAATACCAAATGAAATCGCACTTCCTCCTTTTTTGCCACCAGACCCTCCGGAGTGCAAGATGACCCAGCAGGGCGGTGAATACATAGGAAAAAGGAATATGACGATCCAAGGATATCAATGCCTTCCCTGGAAAGCAGTTACAAGCACTGGTGTTCGATTCTTGTCGTTCCCCGATTCAGAGAGCGTCGACGCATATCACAACTTCTGCCGAAATCC